TTAACTATTTCATAATCATGTTTAACTTTATTTATACGGGTGTGTAATATTCAATTTATTTAAATGTAACAATTAATGTTATACGTGTTGAACTATATTTTTTAAATATTATATTTAAATAATCTGACTATTACACACAAATAAACGACATTACATGAAAATACGAAAAAGATTGTTCCGAGTGCGGGGCCTATGCAATTTCTAGTTTGTAATCTCAATGTAAAGTTTCAAACTCTAGGAATTTTTTTTAAGGTCATATTTTATGTGTCAGACTGAAAGCCACATATACATTGGGCTTTGTGCAACCTCAATTTTGGTCTGCACCCATGTAACCAAAGCTAACATTGTTTAAACCCAACATTATTGACAAACTGCCCATGGTCTGTCCCTCATATAACCCAACCCAATCGAAAGATTTCATAGTCACCACCAGCAATAGCCATGTGTCAACTATTCTATCGCTTGGTTTTGATCCTTTTGGACTGGTTAGAATCATGTAATAACCAAAGGAAAAAAAACAAAACGTACGTAAAGATACTATAATGACTTCTGTAAGAACGAAAATGGTATTCATCTCTATATAAGGATAAAACTTACAGTTATAAAGTAGTGAGTCCTACTTATTTACTTAATAGAATCCATGGAATGAATAGGGATGCTATTAAGGGCTCTGTTTCTAGGTAGGTGGGGTGGTAGGCACTGGCTGATCATGATGAGAGCATAATGTGGTATGAAAAGATATAGTGGCGATGGTACATATGTTTGCCCCTATTTGAAGATAGGTCACTGTTTATATATTTGTCTCGGAAGATCCTTTCTCTAGAACATGCTCAGATAGTATTTTAGCGGCTAAAGTTGGAATTTCATTTATGCAAAAGGGAAAAAAAAAAGTTCACTGCGAGACAAATTTATTTTTAGAGTTGGTGGCCAAACCAATATTAGCCATATGAATGAAAATTATTGATCATGACCAAAACAAGCAAGAAAAAAATACTGGTTTGACGTTAAAGTGTGGCTAAATAGGGCGGCTCTTGTTCGTTTCAAAACAGGAGGAGTTTCTTTTTGAGTTGTCCTCTATGGAGAGCGAGAATCCAATGCAAAGTTATACGAGTCTTTCGAGCCTTTTTACCCGTTCCCAAGCAAGAATAAGGTTAAAAAAATAAAGAAAAAAAGGAGGGAAAGATATCATGGCCGCAAATGGCGCCTATATCACGCACTAAAGTCTAAAGCTACATAATAATACACATGTATGCACAAACTTTGCAATAAGCCGTCGTACCCAAATCGTGAAATTTCATAAAAAGTCGGTCATCATTGTAATCAGTGAAAAATCTTGGCAAGCGATCGACATGTTGATTCATGTTTCTCTCTCACTCACACACACACAAGTTAATTGTTTCTGAACTGTGCAGGTCTAGGTTATTTATCATTGTGTTTGTTGCAATTCTAGATGGTACTTATATTTATTTGTGTGTGTGTATATACATATATATATATATATATATGTATATGTATATATGGTTCAACCACGCAAAATAAGCATCCACCGAATCGCGTGCCGAGGTGATGGTGGAAAGGAGAAAATTTGGTTGATCATTTTACCCTTAAAAGATCGGACAGCAGAATCTCTCAAGAATGGATTTTCGATTCCTCAAAAACTTTTTCGTCTTGAGCTAGGGACCAACACACAAATCCATCTCATCAGCTTGTCTCCTCAATTGAGCTGCCTCTCACAATACAAGTTATGCCAGGGATATATTTGAGTTCCTACGTTCGCGTCTTACATATTTACTCGGACTAGTATATAGTACTATTACCTGGCTCATAAGTATTTTAACTCTACACTATTACCTATTAAGCATTTTAACTCCTGTAAAGTTGCTAGAAATTAGAGGTCATTAATTTTCTTCGATGCATCTGTCGTTTAAACTAATAAGGATACATTAACACCACCTTGGCATTGAGTTCATTCTCAAATCTCAAGTGATTTGGTAGTTAAATCTTAAATTTGAATGTGATGAGAAGTGTCCGAGACCATTTTTAAGCTAACAGCTTAGTTTTTTTTTTTTTTTTTTTTTTTTTTTTTTTTTGGGGAGAAGTGGGCCGACCCTTTTTTTAAAAAAAAGCTTTTTTTTTTTTTTTTTTTTTTTTTTTTTTTTTTTTTTTAAATATATCTTAAGGTGGGGTTGAGGCTTTTTGTTTCTCGACACAGATATATGTGGCTAATACGTGTATTTCCATTAGAGCGTATTTGGTAGGAATGAGAGATGAGATGAAAGAGAAAAAGTGAAGGGGGGGAGACGATCCATTATTTTGTTAGGGGGATGATAGGAGAGAGAGAGGCTCTTCCTTCAATCCCTCCAATTTGAGTCCTTCCACTAGTAGGTTAGTACCTAACCAATATAATAATTAAATAGATGACTATCGTATATCATTTCAAACTCTTTACTCCCAACTAAACCATAAAAAACATTACTATAATTCTTTTCATTCTTTATATTTTCGCACATCTTTAATTCTCTCCGTCATTTTTACTCTTCATCCCATGGTCACGCTAAAACAAAATAGCGGCTGCTGCCTCTTTTAACGACAGTTAGCTTTATGTGGCCGGATGCATGGCGTGATATGATCAAATTATATAATGCATTTATTCTTTTACATTTTCTTTTTAACACCGACGTTAATATACGAGGTACCGGGAGAAAAATGTTGCTGTCTAGCACGCCCGACCTACAGGCAATTATGGCCGTATTTTGATACAAAAAAGCAGAACATGCAGATTGTTGACATGGCATATTTGTGAACATACAATGGAGGGCAAACAGACACGCAAACCTTGGCCTTGGCTCTTGCGACAAGGTGACACACTGAACACTTCAGCTGCCTCGGACCAGTTCAAAAAGAGAACTTTTTTGCCCTTTTTTTTTTTTTTTGGTGTCATATACTATATTTAAGGAGCTAATTAATTAGTGATTATGGAGAAAAGGGTTATTCCAAAACGTGCTTATAAGGTGTTTATCAAGCTCATGAGATGGTCAACTGAGGAGAGGAAAGAAAAGGAAAGGAATTCAAAGACAAAGCGGCCAAAAATCATTATTCCAAAACTTACTGCTTGCAGCTTTTGTAATAAGCTTCCCTGTTCACGCTGGGGCGTCCTTACAGAAGGTGAAAGTACAAACGCCACTCCTTCCGAGACATAAAAAGATGGTGTGTGTTTAACCATTAGTACATTATCTGCACTGAGGAAATAAAATAAAATATAAAAGAAAAGATACCAATTACCATGCATATTGCATACTTTGAACCTGTGGAAAGAACAAAGAAGTTGTAAGGTTATGCGAGAAAGAAAAAAAAAAAAAAAAGTTGGCTTCAGATTCATCACACAAAAGAGGCCACTAATTTTGGACTATATTTTGTCCCCATTCTTAACAAGGGCACGAAGACCCTAGATAATTGGTCTGAACTAGAATACATTTCTGTTGTCCAATATTATACATTATCATTTTTTTAATTCCAAAGTGTATAATCAAAATAATGGGCTTTTTTTTAAAAAAAAATATTATTTTTGAAAATATAATGGGCTCTTTGTTATTATAATGTGTAACTTGTACTAGTCAGTAGTCACCTAACAAACATCACTCTTGTGTACAAAAAGAAAAGCTAGGTTTGATGATTAGCTTCAATAACTCAAGGCTATAATGATTAGCATTCAAATAGGATAAAAGTATTATTAGTTTAAGGATTGGAAATTACTTTTGGCACATGGATATTATTGAAAACTTAAAAACAATGTTAGATAAGTGTCTGACTTTATGGGAAGTAGGCCCGTTGATAGTTCTTATTAGGAAAACAGCAATAATTTGTGTTTGGTCTGAGAAAACAATAGAAATCAAACCGATAGGAAACTAGTTTTTGACTATTTTTATTGTTTCAGCTTTCGTGCTAATGGTTTTGCCTTTTGATTCCATTTTTGTTATGGCTGGGACAACTTTGAATCCTATCATGATGAATGGTTCAAATTTTATTTCTTTGAATTGAAAAGGACTGATTTTAGTATTTTGCTCTGTTTCCAAATAAAATAGACTAATTACACTCAAGATTCATATAATTTTGTGGACCAAATAAAAACTTCCTTTAAACTAGTCTTGGTTTCAACCATTATTCGATCACAAAAATGCGGGATCAAAGGACTTAATTAATAGAATGTGTGTAGACTCCATAAAGAGGGAATAGTAAGATGAGAAATGGTCCATATCCTTGTTTACATAGATGAAATATCATGTTGTCCTTATATGATAGTATTGTTGGTAACTCAGAGTAGGTTTTTTTTTTTTTTTTACCGGGGGGGTAGTTTTGATATAAGACTTTTCAAATATATAGTCATTTAATTATTCGTTTGACCTACCAATCCATAAGTTTTTTGGTTGCCTGCCTTAATTAGACATTGGTTTCTCCAACAGCAACAATCACTATTTCACTGATATAGGGCGTTGCACCACGCCACTAGCTCTTTGCCACTATGATCAGGTGTGTCATCACACACTATCCTCTGTTACTACCACCATTACCAACTTTTGTTGCATCACTCGTGTCTTTGGTATTTTTTCTTTTTTTTTTTAAAAAAAAAAAAAGAAAGATTCAAATGAGATTTTGTTGGGATATACTTTTACCACCTAGCCGTAGCTTAGATATTCATTCATTCTTGGCTCTTTTTTAGTGCCTACAAAACCACAACCATCGTAGTAGTAGCTATGAAGTTTTTTTTTTTTTTTTTTTTTTTTTTTTTTTTTTTTTTTTTGGGTTGAAGAAAAAAAACATTGGCAACTGAAATCAAAAACCCCCAATGGAAAGAGTGCCAAACAGCAAAAACAAAAGTAGGCAAACAACATATACACATGTATGTGTGTGTATGTACAATAATAATAAATTGAGGGAAGAAAGAGAGAATAAAAAGAGTAGAGTACACAATCCAAAAAACCTCGTCTCCTTCCCATGAGAGATTTTCCCATAAACCAAAACGCCCTGACCCCAACGCTTCCCTCTTTTTTCTTTTTTCTTTTTGTGAGTTTTTATTAGGGAAAAAAAAATCTCTCTCTCCCCCCTCTCTCTCTTTTCATTCGTTCTCTTTCCATCTCATGTCATGTCATGCAAGTAGCACCCTAAGCCTTTAACCCCTTCACTCCACGACATTTGTATCCCTGCGCCAGCTCATTCATATTCAACCCATTCACCAACCTCTCTCTCTCCTCTCACTCTCTCTCTCTCTCTCTCTCTCTCTAAAGCTTTCAACGTTTTCTCCACCAGATCTCTCGGAGTGACCCCTTGGAGATGCGTGCCCTTTGAGCCCTTTCCTTGGTTTTCTGGGGGGCTTCTCCGTCAATCCCCCAATACACCCCCATTTTATTTATAACATCCCCATCTCAAACAACAACTCCCTTTCTCTCTCTAACTCTCTCTCTCTCTCTCTTTCTGGGTTCTCTCTGGGCGGGCTTGGCTTGGGGGGGTTTGACTTTTTCTCTTCGATTTCGCTCTGAATGATTTTGAGGGGTTCCGAAAGGAGAGCGAAAAATGGCGAATGGGTTAGAGAGAGAAAGTGGGTTGGTGGTGATATTCAGCGACGACGAGCTTAGCGAGATGAGCGGCGTTAAGAAAAGCGGAGACCACATTGAGGTTACGTGTGGCTGTACAAGCCATAGATATGGTGACGCCGTCGGGCGGCTTAGGGTTTTCCTCAATGGTGATCTCCAAATCACCTGCGAATGCACCCCTGGCTGTCAGGAAGGTCTCTCTCTCTCTCTCTCTCTCTCTCTCTCTCTCTCTCTCTCGCTTTTTGGGAAATGGGTTTCGATTTTTATGCATGTAAAATGTGTTGTTGTATTAATCTTTTATCTGCTTTTCAGTTTTTGTGTTATCGTCAACTGGGTTTTTGACGTTGATGTGGAAATCTACTTTCAAGACGAGATCTTTTGTACTCATGATCATTCACCCATTCCTCGTTGTGTTCATTCTCTCTTTTCATCCTCATTGTACAGTTCAAGTGTATGTTAGTTTGTCTCAGTGAACGTGATCTAAACGAGGAAATACGTTACATATATGTTTTCTAGATATTCATTGGTTTCTTTCTGCGGTTGAGTTTAGATTGAACGATGTGTTTGTTTCATGTAGTGTAATATATTTTATCTTTAACTAGGCATGCTCAGAATGAGTCCTACACTACCCTTTGTTGTGGTGATTGGATTGCAACAAACAAACGGCTGATTTTTCAAGATTTGATTTTGACGCCAGAGTTCTGTTCTTTCTGTTTTACAGAGTAAAATGCCATAGTTTCATGTGGTATAGCTATATCATTGTAGGGTTTTATCTGTTTTTCAGTTCATCTTGATGTACAACGAGAATTTCGGTTGGTTTTTTATGGTGTTTGGCTCAAGCTAGAGCCTTCCATGTTAGTCTACAGTGCAAGTGATAAGTATTTTGGTTTTGGGCAGCACCTTCTTTTGTAGGTCCAAGTTTTGAACTTGAATTTTGAAGAATATGGTTATGTGATTAAACTGATTTTGCGTTATTCGTTTGTACATGTGTTCGCATTATTTATGTTATGTTGCCATGATGCATGGATGTGCAAAGCATGAAATTTTACATCGTTTATTCTGACAAGGGTCTGAAAGTAGTGCTGACATAATGTATCTGATTGTTTGCCATATTAGTATGCAAACACAATTGCTTGGGGTTAAATTTTGAGTAATCTACAGTTTGAACTTTTCCCCATCACCATTTGAAGGCCTAACAAGGTTGTATCCGGTTTTCCTTTTTTACTGAGCATCTGAGGATCTTGTCCATCAAGGAGACACTGTTGTGTTTGTTGGGGAAAGATTTGTCTGGGAGTGACAGATGTGGAAGCCATTTATTGCAAAGTTTTCTTCAAAAGATAGATCTTAGAATTAGAAGACCTTGTTCTTCACAAACTATTTGTTCTTTTACTGTTCCTCGATCGAGATATTTAAGTCAGCCTGATATCTTATATAATAATTCAAAGTATTATTCAATGCAGGCTTTTCCTTTTCCTTTTCCTTCTCTTTCTCTTTCTTACCAAGTGTTTATGCTTTTATTGTGTCCATTTTTTTTCCTTTTATTTCTTGGGGTTGTATAGGCAAATTGAGTCCAGCTGCATTTGAAAAGCATTCTGGAAGAGAAACAGCTAGGAAATGGAAAAATAATGTTTGGGTCATAGTTAATGGGGAGAAGGTTCCATTATGCAAGACAGTGCTGCTCAAATACTACAACCAAACATCAAAAACTGCCAACGGGTCACACAGATCCAACAATGGACGAGTTTGTCACCGCGATGAGTTCATTCGCTGTACCAGATGCAACAAGGAGCGCCGTTTTCGTCTGCGAACAAAAGAGGAGTGTCAGGTTCACCACGATGCTTTGGCAGATGTGAATTGGAAATGCGCTGATCTGCCGTATGACAAGTATGTTGTCCTTAAGTTGAATCAGTATTTATCTGCTATTTAATTTATTATGTTGATTCCTATCCTTTCTGTAATCGACCACCATCCTTTTGAACATGCCAGTAGTTTCTATCTTTTTACTAGCAACGTTTCTGATGCATATAGAAGTATCTTTAAATTGTGGATTTGATTTAAGATGTTTGAAGGCATTTTATAGGTTTTATTTAATGGATTATCCAATTTTCTGTGGACATGCGTGCACGTTTGGTTCTACATTTTTTAGACATTGCCATAATCTTTTCTACCCTTAATTATGCACTATGAATTCCGATTTTATTACCAATTCTTGACGCCTTTTTGCCATTTTATGTCATTGCATGATATGGTTACATATACAATTTAAAGTATAATAACTTTAAGTGATTCTTATGGGCTACTAACTCTATACGGTCTTGTTATTATCATTAACTTTCAGTAAGGAACCTTGCTGGTTTGTAAATACCATAATACAAGGTAGTCAAAGTGATTTAATTACATGTTCTATTTGCAAATGCTAGAACCTTCAGGCAAACAGCATTGATAAAGTCGAGTCATAAATATGAAGACTGGCTGACTGGCTGCTTAGAGTTTTTGCGATACCATGTCCACTAGATACGAAAGGTTGAATTATGATAGGAGCATAAGTGAGGCCATAAAAGTTGGATTTCATCTAGCAGCCCTAAACAGAGGAGAATGAAAACATTGGAGATATAAATTGTTACTCAAAATGCAAATTTAATTAAGCAAACAGAGAAGGTTGTAGTTTATAAGGCAAGCTTACTGCACCGCAGATTAATTTCATACTTTTAGGAGTGGATCATTGACCAAGATTTTTCAATCAACATTGTCAATGTAAATTATGTCCTCTTAATCAAACTAAATAGGTGTTTTCTTTTCAATCAAATTAATTAGCACTGAGACTAGGCTACTTTATTAAGCATAACTATTAGAAGACTCTAAGAAGCAGATTTGTGGGTGACCAAATAAATGTTACTCGAAATTCCTTGTGAGCACTCCTCAAACGATAAATATGTTTCAAGTCAGAAGTTGTGTATATTGTATTGTCAATTTGACGTGCTTGCTTACACAGGATGTATATATGCATATTGTTCTACTTGCATTTTCTGCATTTTTATGTTTGAAGATTTAATAGTGAATAAGTTGGAACAATCGTTGCTTTGTTTTTTCAGAATAACATGTGATGATGAGGAAGAGAGAGCAAGCCGCAGAGTCTACAGGGGCTGCACTCGCTCTCCGACCTGCAAGGGCTGCACCTCTTGCGTGTGCTTCGGCTGCGAAATCTGTCGCTTCTCCGATTGCAGCTGCCAGACCTGCACTGACTTCACAAGGAATGCCAAAGTCTAAGTGACAAATTCTAATATGGACCCAATATTTTCCCATTCATTTGTGGGTTATTTATGCCCATTATTGCCTCGCCCCTTTCTTTTTCTCCAGATTAGAAGAGAGAAGGGGAAAGAGAGAGCTGAGGAGAGAAAGAGTGAGAAAGAGAGGGGAAAAGAGGAGCTTCCAGTGACACTCTCTTTATTATATGTCAGACTTGAATTTCCAGTCCTTGATTTCAATTATATTGTTGTCATCGACTGGTTTAAACTATTTAAATCTTAGTCATTTATTTCACATAAATTAATATATAAAGAAAAGGGGGTCAAATAGCTGAAAGTGAAAGAAAACGAAAAAAGAAAGAACTTCAAACGCACAAGCAACCCACATAATTCAACATTTAGTTAATATTGATTAAGACGAAACTGAGGATGTAATATTCTTCACGTAGCTAATGATCATCCTGTTTGTTGATATTCCACTTTATCTGCTCGTTTCTGGCCTTGATTCTGGTCCCCACTCGGTAGAAGAAAATGGAGTGAAATTTCACGTGCGTTTAGAATGTATTTTTATTTGTTTTTAAAAATATTTTTGTACGTATTTTTGAGGCATGAAAATAAAAACAGTTTGCAAATTGTGTTTATTTAACAAATATTTTGAAAATAAAAATAAAAAACTGTGAGAATGATTTTTATAAAGGAATTAAAAAACGATTAAAAGTTATTTTCTCTTTTTTGTTTTTATTTTTTAGTACTTATCAATAATATTATAATATATTAATTAATAATTATAATTAAATACGATTTCATTTTTTTATTATATTAAAAAAATATATCTTAAAAAATTAACCAAACGTAATTTCAGAATCGGTCCTAATGATTTTCAAAACAATCTCAATTTTATTTTTGTACCGAAAATAAAATTATTTTAGAAATGTTACCGAACGGCCCTTTGTTTCTGGTTTTGAACATGGAAGATTCATGTATATATGGAAGCAGCAATATGTATGTATAAAAGAGCACGCTTGGTCATTGAAAAGCCAAAATCATCTAAAAAGTAGAACAAATGACATGCAGAAGAACCCAAGAAAGTTGAAAATTAATTGAAGGCAATTCACTTACAGCCCTATTAAATGTAAAAAAGAGTCAAAGCGTAAGGCAGAGGAATAATAATAACTGTTATCTGACTGCTTCCAAGCTGTCCCTTCTGCAAAAGGACCACCCCAATTCCCATCATGGTTTTTGTTTCAGGAATCAGGACCATAAGCGCGTAGGATTATTATTATCATTTGCTAAGAGCTTCTTTCGTGGCATGCCATTGCATGGTAGAGTTGTGTCTTGTATGACATCTCAAATACTATTTGGTTGAATCCATTTTTATCCACTAGTTCCCAGTGCAGTAAAAAGGCACTCGATTGTTCATATGGTTATAAACCAGCAGAAGAAAGTAACCTAACAGACTTGATGTGAGAGAAATTATAAGCCATCAGTTGAAAGTCCATACGTCAAAAAAAGTAGTTTTGCTGTTTTTGCCTTTGGCGGTGTTGCGTTTAGTTCATAGGCTTAAATCACAGTTCAAATTGTGTTTTTATTAGAGTATTTTTTCTGACGAGACTTTAAAATGAACCAAACGACACCTTTGTGACAAACTTTAAGTTCATTCTTGGACCTAGTCATGAGTCCTATCAATTCTGCTGTCACCTCCAGCATCCTCTTCGTAGACACCTTCATCTGCGGCCGTGGCGACTCCAACTTGCTGTTGTCTGTGCACCATCACCATCATATTGTCATTTTTATTGTCGTTTTGAAATGGTCAAATATTATAGCCTGCCATTGATTTGGTCATCATCTAATTTCTACTTCACCTGTCTTATTAAAACTCTCTGTCAAGCCCCCCCACCTTCACTTTCTTCTCTTCCTCATCATTATCATAGCCGTTGTCCTTAATTACAACTGGAAGAAAAATAGGAAGATGATGTTATCACACTTCTCATAACTCACCATCTCACTTCTAACATCATTCAGTATTTTCACTCTCTTTGCATACCCTTTTGATAATTATCAAACAAGATCGATCTTCTTTGTTAATATGATAAAATATTTAACCGGGACTAATCGTGTTAAAGCCAAGGGGTGAGTATAGTGTTAGGCAGTTTATATGGATCTCAAAAATCACCGGTCATTCTCGATAAAATCTTGATTTCAAATGTTGACAAATTCAATGGAGCTAGGTAGAAAACACTAATCAATTTCACTTTCTATATGTCTACTTAATTACCACCTATTTCATGATCAAGTGATAGTTATTTATACCTAACAGCTAGACTTACTTGATCATCTGGATGAAATTTCTTCCTTTTCAAAATAGCAGTACAAAAGTAATTGATTGTATATTGCTGTTGGAACTTTATGTGTTATTCACTACTGTGCATGGTATTATTCACTTACACTTTAAAGAATCAAACAACAGTGTCTCTTTTTATGTGTGCTCTTTTGTAGACTTAAAATTTGCACGGTGTATAGAGTCAAATGTAGAATTATCAGTAGGTTATATCAACAACCACAATGTCTCCTTTGTGACTTCAGTAATAATATCCCAACACAAATGTACCAGATATTAATAATCACAACATATTATTAATAACCCGAAATTCTAATATTTTGCTGCATATATTCTTTCCCTATAGATCACAGTTGATCAATGTTAGAGACTGGATCCTCATTTCTCATCTCTTTCACAATTATTACCTGCAGAGACGAGGAAGTCCAATTGCTGTAATTCAATATTCGTTTAAATGCATTTAATTCTCAAAAGTCAAATAATATTATATATACACTTTCCTTTGGGAGTAGGAAACTCTAGAATCAAGATAATGTTTTTTAAGGCTTTTTTCTATTTCTTTAAGAACTCAAAAGAATAATATATATATATATATATATGTATATGTATATAAGAATATATGGTCGTACATGAAAAATATTTCACTGATAAACGCATTGACAGCAATGCTCATGTATATGCTCAATTGAACATTAAGAATTGCAAAATGTAACAATATATTTACAAATTTTAAAGATTTCAGTATTAATGTCATGAATTAATACAAATCTTAAAAGTCAAAATTGCAAAATGAAAGGATATATATATATATATACACACACACACACACACGTAAGAATTCTTGTTAGCGTTGTAAATTAATTCTGAGGACCATCGAACGACCTGGTGTTAAATATCAATAGATATTTTCTTTCTACCATGCAGTTAAAAGGAGGAGAAAAGGTAACTGGCAAGACTGCGACGGTTAAAAAAAAAAAAAAGTCACCTAAATAAATCGTAGAAAGGGATTGGCAATATCAAATTTCAATTAAAGGAGGACCCATCTTCCACCTACAAAATAAATGCTGAAAGCTGTAATCTGCTGTCTAGTCAATCAATAAAAGTACCCTCTCATCAAACCACAGCATATTACTGCTGAATTCAGCGTATAGCACTAGTACTCGTCCTTTTTTAGTTTTTCGTTGCGCTCAGTAGTTTGGCTAGATTATTGCTCTCTCTCTCTCTCTCTCTCTCTCTCTCTCTCTCTATATGAGCTGTGACTGTGAATGCATATGGCTGGACGCTGCCGTGTCTGCATATATATATATATATATATATATATATTAGTATTTGACTTATGCAAATGTCATAATATAACATTTATGACCGCGTGTGATCAATCTATGCGAATCTTAGAATGAATAAGATTCATTCTCTCATTTAAATCATGATCATTTATAATTTGTTATGATATTTTTTTTTATAAAAAATATATATAAATTAAAAATAATTCTAATATTATAGTTCTAATTTATGAATCAAACGGGGTGCATTTTGTTTTTCCTACTTTAATCACAATTTGAATTTTTTTATTATAGTTTTTTTATTTATAAAATTTAAATTTATGACTAAATGTACCATTAATTTTTGTTCATTGTTATCCTGATCCTTCTCTTTTGTTTTCTTTTAATGATCCCAACAGCATGATAATAAAACGCGTGGTTGGTTTGGATGACCATGTCTGCCTTTTTTTGTTGACCGTAACAATCAATGTCGTTATTAATGCATTTGAACTATGGAAAATAGGAAGTAGAAGATCAAAAACCGGACTTTTCTTCCTTGATTTTGTCTTCTTTTCACAATAAGTAGGTGTTAATTACCGCGATTTGGATAATTAACTTGCAACCAATGTTTAGCAATTATTAGGTTGAGGAGCTACTTTCCAATGCAGCTACAACTTTTTATTCTCCAAAGCTATATATATATATATATATATTTGAAAGTGTTAGTATATAGTCACTAGTCATCATTTCACCCAAAATCTACACAAAGAAAAAGGTACAAGAAAAAGAATATGTGAACCACATATAAATAAATTGAATACAAGAAAAAGGGGTCAAAAAAATTTCAAACCTCTTACTAATCTGAGTACTAATACATATGACTATGTCTAAATTATCTGTAAGACCGGAGAGTAGCTCCACAAAAGGTGCATATAATAGCTCTCCAAGATTTCCAATAAAACGGGACGTAACAAAATCTTGTAGCCGTCTTCATATCTGCCACGCTGGCCCCGCCACCGCACCGCGAGCACGTGCCTGCCGCCGGCTTGCTCCGCCGCACCTTTCTCTTCTGATCAACAAGAAAACAGAAGACTACCATGGTGTTTGTGATTAATTTTTCTTTTTTTCTCTCTGGTCTTGGCGTTTTGTGTTTTGTTGGCGTGGAAGTTGGGGAAATGGTAGTGGCAGTAGTAGGCGTGAGTGAAACAAGGGCTTGTTGGTTGAGACTTGAGATGGTAATGCCAAAAAAGAGAACTTGGTATATATATGCATGAGAGGAGTTAAAGGTCGAGCAACTTCTTGTCCTTGTTTTGATTTTGGGCCGTTGTATTTAAGATGACTGGCCTCTTAAGTTTTCGCCATGTGTTAGTGGGCGTTGCAAAAATTAATTTGGTGGGAAGGTTTTGGGGATATTGAGATGATCATGACCATACACGTGGAGGAGATCAAAGGTCAGTTTTTGTGTTGTAATTAATAAGGGCCAGCTATACTTTGTTGAATGAAGGATGGGTGGTGGCAGTTAGTAGGTCCTCCTTTGGGCCAATGAGTTTGAGTACTTGCCATTTGCAAATGCAAAAAGTTCTCTCATAGTTAGTAGGTCCTTTGTTGATCATTTTTGTTGGCTTGGCTTGTGCATGGTAATTGTCCAACATGTGTGTATTGGGGACCAAATAATGTGAACTTTCTTTTGATGGGACCAAAAAATGTGAACTTTGTCTTTCGTGTCGTTTTTCCTATCACTTTGTTGGGGAAGGAAAAGATGCAAAGCAAATTGCTAAATCCTGATTGAAATAATAGAGATATCTTACCTTGTTATCTCAAGTGCTATATGGTTATAGGCACCTAGGCCCGAATTCTGCCATTTAAATTTATAACCTATTCAAACTTAAGGTCTAAAAGTTTTTTTTTTTTTTTTTTTTTTTTTTTGGTTTACTAAAAATTTTACTTTTCCTTTTATCAAGTTATCATTTTACGTAGCTTTTTCTAACTTTATCAAGATTTTTGTAACATATGATGATAATTTTGTAATTTTATTAACTACGCATTCTTGTCATTTTCACATGGAGATTTATAAGTGTAAGTTCACGCAAGAATTTTTCTCTATTTCTTTGCTATCTAAAAATCACTCCTACCAAACAACCTACTTTCTCAATTTCCACTCTAAAATCTCTCCTCCTTCTCACTTTCCTCAATTTTTCATCCCTACAAAACAGTGTTAGTTTTGGAATTAATCTGAAGCTAATTATATACATTATACATCTTACATGTAGTTACGAGTTAGTGCATGAGTAGTAATAAATAAGAACTAACGAAAGGCAAAGGGGAATAAATTTGATAAAAATACGGCAGCAAACTCAAAAACTTAAAATGTTGGTGTTTAGTTTTCTTGAGGTTATATATTTCCTCCAAAATAAATTGCTCACGTAATATTCGTGGCTGAGGTATAAAGCAAATTATGGTCCTTAAATTTGAGCTTTTGTGCCCATAACGATCTATATCTTCTAGATCAGTTTGAAGGGCTAATTCATCAATCACCATTGAGTGCCTTTTCAATTTTCTCTCATTTTTTTATTGTTATGCTGCCGTACGCATTAGGGGTTATATTAAGCGACCACATCAAGTATTATAGCTGTCATATACTTTCTTACTCCTTTTTAAAAATGGAAGGGAGAAAAAGAAAAATTACAAATTTTTCTCTTGTTTTTTTCTCTTAAGAGATTGGAGTTTTTTTTTGATAAATCCTGGAAAATTAAACTACTAAAAAGTTCATATTTTTAGTAATTAAATATGTATAAAAAATTATCTGTTATATATGTATTTTAAATTTAATGTGATTTTTACTATATCCAACAGTCAGTCAGATACTAACCCTATCAATAAATTTAGGTGAGAGAGAGATAGAGATATGCTCAACCTTGAATCTTGTTGAAATTGACAATCCCTTTTGAATGTCTCTTTTTTTTTTTTTTTTTTTTTTATGTACGTTACTACGCCTTAATTAACACAGCCAATGTTTTTGATGTCCCCACCTGTCATAAATGAATCTTTGTACAACGTCACACTGCACGTATATACTCTCAACAAAGATTAGCCTGATCTCAAAGTTATATTTTTAAGGTATATTTAAGCTTCATTCATTTTATCAATTTGAATTTTTAATTTTAATTTTACTACAGTTAAAAGCTCTCATAAAAAATCATATATAACTTTTTATACTACAGTGAAAAAATCTCACATAAAATCATATATTAACTCGAATTAAAAACTCAAATCTACAAACTGAACGAGGCTTAAGAAATCCCACTTCAATTTCTCGATACCTTGGTGCCCTTTTGTCGCGATTTGAACCATAATACTTCAATGTTCTATAGAAAAATGACCAATACGTCAATGGTTAGTCCCTCGTAAAACTTTCCTTTACCTCACTTGTAATTAGCGTTTGAATGTGCATATTGTTTGATCAGGTTATTATCTTATGAATTAGAGTTAGAGTTAATATTATGGGTTATTGAGAGTCTATGAATGTGTTAATGATGAGAGAAGTGGAAAGAAAAAGTACTTCATTGGAGAACATAAGAGGAAAGTGAACAATGAGATAGACAAAGAATGTAATGGTAGAGAGAGTTTAAGAGAATTTGTTGAGTGTATATTGAAGTTGTTTGTGAATTTGTTTTTTCTGTGCGTAGATCACTATCTCTTTTCATTTTTTATTTTTTTATATTTGTATTGATTTTGTGTTTTGAGTATTACGTAGTGTTCAAAAAGCCTGCATATTAGAAAACAGCGATCTTTTTATTAAAAAAAAAAAGTGAAAATGTGAGATTTCTGATTAGTTTGGTTCATACATTTAAATCAGTGATTCTTATTATAAATTTAAATTTTATAAGAGAACTTATTAGCGGGTACTTTTTTTATTCAAATTTTTTATAAGAGAAAAATACTATAACAGAATCAAAATTATGAATTCAAACATGTGAAACAAACAGGCCCTTCATATCTTTGAACTTGAAAAAATGCATAATTTATTTTTAAGAGTGCGTGAGTATGAATCTTTACCCCTTATTCTTGATAAATAACCTTTTATTAGTGTAATTATTTGACTAAAAAGGTCATGAATCTAAGTATAAAGAGTAAAAATCTTAATTTATACACTTTTAAGAGATATTTATCAAGATTATCCGTTAAACTTTGATGCCTCAACCCCTCATTTTCAGATCTTGCCCTCTTCAAAATTAAAAGTTAAAACAGGACAACGACTACTAGGGACGATATGGTAGACACTTAGACATCCTTGCAAATAAGTGAGGCCGTGCCGTAGTTTATCATATTAATACAGTCTCATTTATTAATAGTCTTATATCTCGTTCATTTTGAAATTTGAGTTTTCAATTTGAGTTGAGATGTGATATTTTTTTAAAATTTTTTACTGTAGCAAAAAAAAAAAATAAGATGTGACATTTTTTTAAAATTTTTTACTGTAGCAAAAAAAAAAAATAAGATGTGACATTTTTTTAAAATTTTTTACTGTAAAAATTTAAAACTAAAAACTCAAATTAATAAAATTAACAATACCTTTATTTATTTATTTATTTATTTACAGCGATGCTATTGCCATTACTGGTGTTTAATATTAACACGCACAACCAATACCCTTCTCTTTTGTCCTATTTATCCAATCTACTCTAATCTAACTGATGTCACGTTTGGTTTAAGAGAGATGTAGCCCCGTGTCGAAGCTAGAGGCTAGAAGCACTAGTGGAGCTATATAATAACCAATGGGAGCACATGCTAACTAGAAATTCTCCTCTTTAGCTTACATTTTTAGATTCTATAATTCTCGTTCGCTTTGCGAATTCGAGTTAAGATATAATATTTTTTAAGAGTTTTTAATTGTATCAAAAAAAATTAAATGTGACATTTTTTAAAAATTTTTAACTATAAAATCTTAAAATTAAAAACTCGAATCGATTCAGGTGAAATGAAGGAGACCATAATTATTATAATTGAATTTATCCAAATTGAACTATTCTAACTTAGAAGTTTACATATAACTTCATTTATGCACTTCATAGTTTGTACCAGGGATTAAGGCGACGTGTTTAGAATTGATCTTGTTTTTGTTTTTTCCGTTTTTTGAGAAAGAAAAAATAAAAACGTTTCCAAAACGGCGTTTGGCGCAATAAAGATAAAAAATGAAAATGAAAATAATTTTTTAGTTTAGTATAAAATGAGAGAAAAATAAAAAATGACTTTTAGTTGTTTTTCATTTTTTGTTTTCATTTTTTCTTCTCTCGAGCAGAGAGAGAGAGAGAAAGAGAGACATTAATAGATTTTTTTTACACTGAAAATAATCTCTTGATAAAACTAACAAACGCATTTTTAAAAATGATTTCTGTCTGAGATTGAAAACGTTTTCATTTTTATTTTCATACAAAAATAAAATCATTTTAGAATGAATTCCAAACGTGCCATAAGTTTTCTAATATTAAAAAAGGTCATTGAAAAGACTATTTACCCCTCTCCCCACAAACTTCTCTTCCTATATAATTCTAATAGATTAACAACGATGGCACCCACACACAAGAAATCATTTTGTTTCCATTGGATGGCGAGATTCGCGCGATCTCTCTCTCTCTCTCTCTCTCTCTTGGCGTCGTCTTTTTGTTTCCACCGAATGGCGAGATCTATGCAAACTGCAGCTGGGTGTGAGATTCACTCGAGGAAGCAAAACAACAGTGACCGGAGCATCAATGTCAACGGGAAAGAAAGGACAAAATAGGAATTTCAACGAAGGAAAAAGCGGCATTCCCCTAATTTTTTAAACTTCGAGTCATATTGAATGAATGTCGAAAAACGACGGCCCATCCTAATTTTTCTTTGCAACACGAGCGTGATAACATTATTAAAAAAAAGGCCGGCAAATTTTAAGGGCTCGTTTAGTTCGCTGATTTGAGTTTTTAATTTGAGTTGAGATATGACTTTATGTGAGAATTTTTTACTGTAATAAAAAAGTTAGATGTGATTATTTTTGAGAACTTTTTACTGTAATAAAACTCAAATCGGTTAAATAAACGAAGCCTAAAATTATGAGATGTCGATAGAGTAAATATTTTTATTATTAGATTAATTTTTTAACAGTTTACGGTATAAATAATTTTATATAACACAATGTAAATTTTTAATATAAATTTATACATTTTTTTATCATTAAAAATTTAATCTAACAATTAAAGATGGACACTTACGAGTGAGTGAGTAACAAATGCACCGTATAATTTCCCCACAAAATCTATGACCAAAGTTCCGAGTCCAGCCAAAAATAAAAATTAAAAAAAAAAAAAAGACGTTCTTTTCAAAGTTCAGTTTTTCTTCCCTCTCAATCTGAACATCAATCTCGTCGCCATTTTCATGAAGCTCTTCTTCAAACGCCACCATTGCAGCTCTCTCTCCTCTTCCAACCTTCACAACACCAAAAACCAATCACACAAGGAATCCCAAATCCGCCAACTTTGCAAGTTTGGCGCGCTTTCCGACGCATTTTCAGTCCTGAACTCCATTGATCCCGGCGAAATCACCGTCAAACCGACTCTATACGCTTCTCTTCTGCAAACTTGCGTAAAGGCTGTTTCTTTTAAGCCCGGCCTCCAAATCCACGCCCATGTCGTCAAGTCTGGCCTCGAAACCGATCGCTTTGTGGGTAATAGCTTGCTTGCTCTTTATTTCAAGTTGGGTTCGGATATTTCGCAGACTCGGAGAGTTTTCGATAACCTGAATTTCAAGGATGTCATTTCTTGGACGTCAATGGTAAGCGGATATGTGAAGGTGGGAAAACCCGAAAATGGGATTTCGTTGTTTCGGGAAATGTATGGTTTCGGTGTGGAGCCAAATGGGTTCACTTTATCTGCCGTGATCAAAGCGTGTTCCGAGATTCCGGATTTGAGACTTGGCCGGTGCTTTCATACGATGGTTGTGAAGTGTGGGTTTGATTCGAATCATGTCATTGTTAGTTCTTTGATTGATATGTATGGGAGGAATAACGTTCCGGAAGATGCATGCAAGCTGTTTGATGAAATGATTGACCCGGATGCTATATGTTGGACGTCGGTTATTTCAGCAATGACGAGGAATGATTCGTTTGTGAAAGCTTTGGGCTTGTTTTACTCGATGCAGAGGAAGGCCGGGTTCTTCGCAGATGGTTATACATTTGGAACGGTTCTTACGGCTTGTGGTAATTTGGGGAGGCTAAGACAAGGCAAGGAAGTGCATTCTAAGGTCATTACTTGTGGATTTTGTGGGAATGTGATTGTTGAGAGCAGTCTGGTTGACATGTATGGAAAATGTGGCTCGGTTGTTGATGCTCGGGGTGTTTTTGATAGGATGACAGTGAAAAATTCTGTTTCTTGGACGGCATTGCTGGGAGTGTACTGCCAAAATGGAGAATTTGGATATGTTATTGAGCTGTTTAGGGAAATGGAAAAGGATGACCTTTATTGTTTTGGAACTGTTATTCGTGCGTGTGCAGGTTTGGCGGCAGCAAGACATGGGAAAGAGGTTCATTGCCAGTATGTGAGAAAGGGCAGTTCGAGGAATGTTATTGTAGAATCTGCTTTAGTCGATCTCTATGCAAAATGCGGTTGTATCAATTTCGCAGAAAGAGTTTTTTGTCGGATGCCAGTTAGAAATTTGATAACTTGGAACTCGATGATTTGTGGGTTTGCTCAGAATGGAAGAGGTGGAGAAGCAATTGGCGTCTTTGATCAGATGATTAAGGAAGGCATCAAGCCTGACTACATAAGTTTTGTTGGGGTTCTTTTTGCTTGTAGTCACTCAGGTTTGGTTGAGCGAGGAAGAAATTTCTTTAAGTCAATGACAGCAGAGTATGGAATAAAAGCTGGCCATGAGCATTATAATTGCATGGTTGATCTTTTAGGCCGTTCCGGGCTTTTAGAAGAAGCCGAGAATTTGATTGAGAAGGCAGATTGTGGAAACAATTCGTCTCTTTGGGCAGTTCTTTTGGGTGCTTGCACGACTTGTACCAATTCTACTACTGCAGAGCGAATAGCGCAAAAAATGATGAAGTTGGAACCTGACTGCCATTTGAGCTACGTTCTTCTTGCTAATGTGTATAGAGCAGTTGGACGATGGAATGACGCGTTGAAGATCAGAAAACTGATGAAAGATAGAGGCGTCAAAAAGACGCCAGGCATGAGTTGGATTGAAACTAATGGTAAGTTGGATTACCATTTTGATGCAGATTATCTAAATTTTCCTGGGAAAAACAATTTTCCGAGTGCAGGGAATATTGGGTGATTATTGAATCAAGACCAAGGATTGGACTTGACTGTGAGAGAGTAGATTTTCCTTCATCGTGAATAGAAAAATTCAAGACAAAAAATCCAAGACAAATCGTCAACGCATAAATAAACTCACGAACAAGATCCGAGCCCTACATAATTGTGCAAGGGAGAACGTTTTTTGAGTGATGAGGTTGTACAAGAACTAGCAAATTGAAGAACCGAATAGATTGGATAAACAAAATTGTAGTCGGTGTTGGAATGTTTAAATGTTAAACTTATATATACAATGCACAAATTACACACGATTTGCGGAGATAAATATTCTTTTTCCTCCTACAGACTCCAACACTCGGATCTTGGAGTCTTTGATCATCTTACTATCATGAACTTTCTGTCTCTGAAAAACTCTCATCAAATTCGTCTCCAGTTTCGGAACCAGCATATTGTTCCGAGTCGAGTACAAATTTCATCTCTTGGCTCGCCAAATTGGCAAGGTCAGGTCTATTGGCACTTTTATAGGCATCTATTATGGCCCTATACAATGACTCGTTTTGTTCAATTTCTGCACTTTTTAACTGGCTGTAAATGCGCTTCACACCTTCAACCATTCCAGCTTTCCCATAACAACCAACCAGGTTGATATACGTTACAACGTCTGGTTCCAGATCATCGTCATGCATTTTTAGGGACATATTCAGAGCCTTGTCAATTTTCCCAGCTGCCCCGTAGACATATATCGCAACGTTGTATGCAAAAGAGTCGAGTTTCAGATCCTCTTTCGCGAATACTTTACAGAATTCTAGTGCCAAATCATGCATACCCACCACAGAAAAAACAGAAGTGATTACCGCTTGCCGTGAATAAGGTTTGCCTTCCTGATAAGATGACTCTAGCTGTGCCACTGCTTCAATTGACAGCCCGCCTTTCTTCAATACGGTAAACAAAACCTTGAAGGTCCAACTGTCAGGCAAGAGTTTCCGAGTAACCATTTCGTGCAGAAGTTCGCCACACTTGCGTAGCTGCCCACTGGCGGCATAACATGCCATTACCATGGTAAATGAAGCACAGTCCTTTACTAAACCAGACTCTTTCATTTCCTCTGCTACTCGGACAGCATCATCAAACATGCCCGTGCTCTTGTAAAGATTCATCATGGTTGCAAATGAAACTTCGTCTGCCAAACCCTCTTTTCTCAAATCTTCAAACACCGACTTTGCTTCAGATACCATTCCAAGAACTGCATAAAGATTGATCATACTGTTGGATGCTACAATATCAGGACCGCCCTTGAAACCTCTCATCCTATCATATAGCAACGTTGCTGCTTCCAAGCACCCGGCCTTACCATAAGCCTTAATCAGCGATGTCAAAACTATTTGATTTGCTGAAATCCCAGATTCTTCCATCCGCTGAAAATACTTCAATGCTTCTTCCACTTTGCCAGATTCTGCAAATCCATTCACTAGAGCTCCATACACGACTTCATTCGGTTTCACCCCTGTGCTTAACATTTTTTGGTACACACCGACTGCTTCAGAAAGCTGGCCAAGGCGAGCATAGCACGCAATGAGAGCGGAGAAGGTTAGACAGTTTGGCTTAAGACCCATTCCCTGCATTTCACTCAGGAGGTCTACTGCTCGGTCCACTAAATCTCCTTTGGAGAACATCTGAATGAGAGAATTGTAAGTGCACTCATCAGGCCAAGCCCCATGATTTCTCATGCCCTTGAAGAGAGAGAGAGCTTTATCATAAAGCTTTGCCTTGCCATAGGCTTTTACCATGACATTATATTCCATGACATTCCATTTCTTTCCAACCAAATCTCTTTTGCCAAAAAACACAGCCTCGGCCTCAACCCACAGTCCCTTTTCAGCATACACATCTATAATTGCCACATATGTTTTCGACAAAAACCCACCATCCTTCTGGCATTTCTCAACAAACAACTTTGCGTGGTCAAGCAGTCCATTATCAACATACATCTTAACGACGCCGGGGACAGAATGCTCATCAATCCGCACACCAGACTTCTCCATATCTTCAATCACAATCTCGACATCCCGAACCATGTTTCTCTGACACAAAACATGAAGCACAGCCCTGTGAGTCACAAGGTCTGGGTAAAGTCCCACATCCCTGATCTTCCTATAGCACTCGAGAGATTTATCAATGTCACCCACTTCAGCGTACAAAGACAAAAAGATGTTATAAGTTTTCGTATCGGGAGATATTCTCCTTTCTTCCATCTTAGCAAGCAAAGCTTCTGCCTCAGCCAAATGGCCATGACTTCCACAAGTAAAAATCATAGTGTTAAAAGTTATAGTATCCATTGCCACTCCTGACTTCAACATTTCACCAAACACATTGGCTGCATCCTCCAACCGCCCGGCTTTCCCATACATATCAATCAAAGTATTATAAGTAGAAGTAAGTCTTGGCTTCCTAATGGAACTCTCACTCTCCAATGAAGATGTCAAACTTCTGGAACCGGGAATTCTCCCACCTGTCCTGAAAAGTTCAGTGGACAAGAAATGCTTAAAACTGACGGGTTCCGAGCCCGATCCATCTACCATAGAATCCAAATCAAGCTCAATCCTTCCCATACACCAGTCCTTGTAAAATCTGTCCGCTCTATCATACTCTCCTCCGTCTTTCAAAACGCGAACCACCGTGCTCATTGTCACCTCATCCGGAAAAATCCCCCTCACTCTCATATGCTTAATCCACAAAACCGCTTCTTTCACAAGACCCGCTTTTCCATACACGTCCACAAGCATTCCATACGTGTTGTTCGTCGGAAAAACTCCAGTTTTCGCCATTTCGATCCACTGGAGCCTCAACTCGTCCCATTTCTGAGCTCTACCCAGTGCCCGCAGCACAACGTTGTAGTGAATGACATTGGGGACGTACTCTTTCTGCGACTTGAACCACTCGAATACCCGAACAACCCTTTCCCAGTTCCTCTGCTCTTTGAGAATTACAGTCTGTTCTTTTGGACTCAGATTTGCGCCGAATTCTACGAGGATTTTCTCGACATCGTCGTTGGATTCCAAGGACCGCAAAATCGAAGGCAATACGCCGCCGTACCTCTTCTTCTTGTTACCATTGAGAGAAGAAACTTTGGTGGGAAAAGCCAGCGTCTTCGAATGAGACTGAACCTTAAACCCTGCAAAAACCCTAGTTCCTCCTGAAGAATTCTGCTTCTGGGTATGTGAATTCACGAGAATCTCAAGGTTTTGGCCAGTATAATAGTGGTGTTGTCTGTTGGAAGGGTTGTGGTTGTGGAGACTAAACCCTAGAAAAACCCCAGCTCTGACAGGAGGTTTATGAAGAAGCTTACTTGGAGATGGAGGGAAAACGTGAGTTTGCATTAGTGAGCTTTGGAAACGCTCTTGCCCTAATTCTCTGGAGCCGTAGCTCTGGCACCCAAGCATCATTGCGTTTTCTTCCTAGTTTGTCTTAGGGTTCAATTTCAAAGGGAAAAAGGGCCTCTTTTAAGTTAGAACTACAGGAAGGGGGAACTCTGAATTTCATATTTTTTTGGTTTGTGATTCAGTTCTAAGAGTCGAAAATAGCGTTTGGTTCATGTATTTTGAATCATGATTAAGAATTATTCTTGATTTATGTGTATTTTTTATAAGAAAAAATACTATAATAAACTACGAATTATGATTCAAATTATAACACGAATACACCAACTAAACGCACCCTAAATTTGATTAGCGCATTTTTATGATAGTAATTTTCATGTGCCCATTTTTTGATGATGATTCAAATTGCTTTGTTTGCGCAAATACGCTTCCTTTAAGACAAATGACATATCGTTTTCAGAAACGACAACATTTTTACTCTGGACGAGACTTTGTGAACGCACCGTCGTTGCTAATCGAAACGGCATTAAGTTTTTAAAGGGAACGACATGCCGTTTCTCCTATAAACAACGGTTGTATGACCAATAATTTATGATAACGGTATGTCGCAGTTATTAATGACAGTTTGTATGAGAAATTGAATCGATCGCATACTCATTTCCAGAAGTTACATTGACATTCTGATCTAATCAAGTTATACGTCTTGGAATACAGACATTCGTCTTGATTCTCAAAAGTCGGACTATAATCAAGTTCGCACAAATATTAGGGAGACACGAAACACCGTATTATTACTAAAATTATAAAATAAATAATAATAAAAAAACATACAAAACGCTTTTATAGAATCAACATGAAAAAATAATATGTCAAAGCTCGGACTCAAAGACTCAAAGATGCCACTCTCCGACTGCACAACTGTAGGTCTAACAAGCTACTATCTCAATGTTCTGGTTTTAGTACACTTCTCTCTGATGAAAAGAAATGAAACAAATCAAGAATAACTACAAAACACGTCAAGCTGTGAAAAGTGCCGAAGGAATGGGTATTTAAAGGAATTTGGATAAATCGCCTCTGAGTTCCCAAGTACCACCTTCATCACAAAGCCGACGCATTACAGAGCTGCCATCATGGTCGATCTTGCAGCCTCGTGTTTCATTTCTGCAGCCTTGCCACTGCCCCGGAAATACATGTATACTTGCTGCATTAGAGAAGTCAAAAAAATGTAAGATACCCAAATGACGCATTATGACCAAGACAGTAAGATTAGATATTGAAACCTGAATAACCCAGACGCTGAGCAGTGACTCGAGGCAAAACAGTCCAAATCCAATGAAGTAAAATATCTGCAACAGTAAGTTTAGATATGATGATCATTATCGCATAATTAAATAGATCAAAAGGAAATTCCACTGATAGTTCTCCCTGCACATAATAGTCTTGGAAAGGTCATCCCAACAACCTACTATTAGTTGAAACTACTGTCCCTGTACTGTAACAACATGTAGCTAGAGGAACGGAGGGGAAAAATAATAATAATCTTTGTTGCTGTTTAAATAATAAGAAAGTTAACAGAGCAGTAGAAGGATGCAACTTACCCCAACCAAAGCATGATCACCCAAGACATCTATTGCAGGCAAAATACCCCTGTCCCCATTATCACAACACATAAACATCAATTCAAGAGAAAATGTTGTTACTGTTCCAGAAGGAACTATGATAAGTAGATGAACATTCTTTTCCCTCGTAACAACAGAGAATACTCACGTGAGAGATTTGCCCTTGAAAATAATTGGAGGAGCAACTGCAGCAAAGATGCAAAAGGCAATATGGAGCTACAAGGAGAGATGAGGCCAAAGACATGAGACATATTGACCACCATTATTTTTCAAAAATCAAACTTGAATGCCAGAAAAATACAAATGATGAGATTATAAAAAGACTTACCAGGTAAAACAAGAAAAACCATCCAAACTTCAGAGCACTATCAGTCCTGTGGAAGACAACCCGCAATTACAAATCAGAAGTCTAATATTGTAGGATAAAAGAATAAAACAGATTACTAAGATCAAACATATGGTGGCTAAGCCCCCATTTAGTTCGCTAATTTGAATTTTATTGATTCGAACTTTTTGATTTGAACAAAAAAATTCAAACTGTGGTTTAAATTATAGTTTTAATTAACGTTTGGATGTGCAGTAAAAGTTTTAATTTGAACGGGGAATAAAATTTGAATTTGTGTTTGGTAGGTGTGAAAAGAAGATAGAGTGGGCACCTTTTTACTGTTCAAAAATGATTTAAACGGTTGAACTTGAGGGGGGAGCTAAACTCTAAGTTGGACTGTTTAACTCAGTTCGAACGGGGAATATAATTCAAACTACACGTTTACCAAACATCAGTTCAAACTGTGCTCACTATTCAAACTGAGTTGAACTGAACTAAACCAATGAAACAAACGGGGCTAAGTCAACTGTCAACTCAAATGAAATAATCACCACAGAACACAGAGAGAGAGAGAGAGAGAGAGAGAGAGAGAGGAAAAAGGTTCATCATAGCAGGGAACAGGTAGGTCCTAACAATGGGAGTTCTTGTTTATTTTTTTTTTAGTTTATAAATCAACTTCATGATCAATACTCCTTTTGTACATTGAAGAACATATTCTGCACAGATGAAATGAATTAGAAAATGACCTCGGACACACTCAATGGGTGGAAATGATGTGCACAACATAAACGAGTATTTGTCGTCACATGCGTTGAAAGTTGGCACAGAATGTACCACCAAGCTTTTATTAAACCTATAACGTACAGTCTCTCTCCAACATTGCAAGTCTTGTTTTTTCATTGTATGGTATTCCTACTCAGCTAAAACAAATTGCATACTTTTACAGGATGTTGTTTGGGAGTCCAAACTCTAACGAGGTGGTTAAGTAAAATCACATGGCGTGTCCATGTATAAACAATGTCAAATCAGTTAAAGAGTAGTAAGTACCTCATAGCACGATAAAGAGGGCGATACCACAAAACATATGCTCCAGGCACCCCTGAAATGAAGTATATGATAGCCAAAAACCATATTGTTGGACCTGCATGTAGGACAAGTTTAAATAAAATGAAGCAAACACAATAATAACATAGTTACTGGTGCATGCAAAAGTTGCAAAATTAACCTTCTCCTTTGATCCAGGCTGTCGAAACAGCTATGATATTCCACAGAAGGCACACAAACAAACCTGCAGAACATCACCAGCACTTTCATTAATTCAAGTCAGCACACGATTTATTACTATTCTTTTCTGTAAAAAGAAAATATAACAACAGGGTAAATACAGCCTCAAACCAAGAAAAAGCATACCCACAACCATAATAGTTGAGAAAATTGAAGTGCCGTACAGCCATAAGTATCTCCAGGTTTTACTAGCCCCAGTGTATTAGAAATTAGAATACAAATTCGCTAAAAAAAGAAAAAAAAAAAGTATTTGATCATATAATATCTTCCAGCACATAGCACGTAAACTTTCAACAATGGTTCCAAGGGCCAGTTTGGTATTGTAGTGCTGATAAAATAACAGTAATTGTAGTAAGTGGCATATTTTTTAAACGTTTTTGACTAAAAAACATATTTTAATATAATTGAAGTAAATAGCATAGTTGCGAATACCAAGTAGAATTTAGATTGAACGTTTAATAAGAGAATTTTTGCACATTTATTTACGTCTTTGGTTCTCATTTCTTATTAAAACCCACATTAATTGAAAAATGTAAAAATTTTAGAAGTGAATTTTCAAAAATTTATTCTAAAAAAAAGTCGTTTTCATTTGTTAGAGAGATGACCAGAATAGATATATTCAAAATGATAATCGATGGTTGAGCCATTTTAGTAAATTTAAACAATGGCGGCCAAAGCAATGGAAAAGCAACCTTGTGCTGCTGCTTCAATTCTGCCGTTGGGTGCGATTTTTACAATCTACTAGGCAAAGATAGGTTTTACCAACGACCTATACAATTGCAGATTGTTTAATAATCTAAAAGCAACCTTCAAACAGCAATCATAAACAGCCCCAAGTCTCTAATTACCAAAAGGAATAGCACTTTGACATACCCAAGAATGTTGTAAATGCAACATACTGAATCCTCTGTAGATGAATTGGTATTTCATTTGCAATGTCATGGTGGATAATCGGAAAAAATGGTGGCCAATTCTTCTCCTCTATAACAATTCCAGCTGCCAAAAAGAAAAAGACATTCTTGTAAAAATACATAGCATACATTAGCTCGTTTTTCTTTTTGAGCACATAGAAATCGGTAAACCTCGTTGAATAGCATCTTCTTTCCGTTTTAGTTCCTGCAAACACATTGTGAGTAATTTAGTAAGAGACAACTTACGTCTAAAAAGTAAAACTACAAGACTCTAAAACTAATCTAAGGACTGCACCACCAAATTTAAAGCAAGATTCTATATCTTTGACAATTAAATAAAGAACAAAAGGCAAAGAAAAAGTTCACATTTGCATATGGAATATAGCCTAAGATGACAATTCTCGGGAAAAAAAAAAAAGAAACAAAACAAAACAATTCTGAATATTTTATAGACATGCTCAATCAAAAAATGGCTGAATTTTACTTTCATTCGGAGCAGTTACGCTAACAACTCACTACAAAAGAAGCCCCTCTTGGCTCTTATGACCCTCAAGATTAACATCCTTAAACAAAAGTGAAAGAGTAAATGACTACAAAATTTGGCAAACACGCCAGGATATGCAATTTCAGAAATAAGCCACGTATGGAATTTAGAAATTTAGAACTAAATGACCAGTTAGAAGAAACAAACTACGAATACCTGTTCCCTCTTTCTTAATTCAGCCTCTTTAGCTTGAAGTTCTTTCTCCTTTGCTTTCAAATCCTAAAGATAAAAAGGAAAAAAAAAATTATATATATATATAAAATAAAGAGACATTGCTTAAAATCAAACAATCATAGCGTAATACAATCAGGTGTGCACGTTTTAGTGTACCTTTGCATTATCAAGAGGAATATCAATTGTTGCACCACGATCATAAGGTTCAGGAGGTAGGGGTGAAAGTCTTGAAGTTGCAGGGGGGACATTCCCAGGGTTCTAAAAATTTAATGAACAAAAAAGGAAACATAAGATAACATCAAAGTATCTATATGAAAGAACCAACTACATCTCTACCTCTGAACATAATAAACTAAAATGAACGAAAAACTATAGCGCAGAATAAAATGCAAGTTCGCAATAATCCAAGGCTTCATTTTGCAATTTCCAACATTCGTTTGTTTCATGCTTTAAGAGAAGGTATCAAGCAAAGGAAAATGGCAAACTTACTGTCATATAAAAAGCACCTCCACCATAATTTGATTGCCCTGATCCTTTCCCTCGACCTGCCTGGTCCTTATTTTACAAACACGAAAATTTTCCAGATTATAAAAAAGTTCAAATTCAAAGATTTCATGAATAATGTAGATAAAAGTATCACTTCGTTCGTTAAAATTTCATGTGAAGAGCATAAGGAGAGAGCAGGAAATGGAATAAGTACTAAGAATAATAAATGCTTGATCTTCGATATTGGAATTCCTACACTTTCCACTTTTCAGAATCCAAATCGACAATAAAACATAAGATCCATATCAACCATTTCCCACACAACTAAATCCGGACCAAAAAGATGACGTTTGAAATAGAAAATTAAGCGAGAACAAAATTACACTCACTACATTACTAATTTCAATTCGCCACCGAGTATAAACAGATTTACATAATCCAACCAATTACAAATCGAAATCAACAGACATCAATCGAACAAATGTGCTTGTATTGAACATCATATCGAAAACAGAAATGGCCGCAAATTGATGTAGGAATTCCAGCATTAGAACTTACCGCAAAGGGATTGACCTCTTCTTCTTCGAAAGGATTTGAATCGTAGCGACTCATGGGACCGAATCTGCAGATCTAAGCTCTAGCAATGAGCGAGAACAAGGAGATCTGAAGGAGACTAGGGTTTCCGGTGATGGGAAAAATGCTTGGTGGATTGTGATTGTTCAGGTGAAATTTGGGTAAACACACAGAGACTGGGGAAAATGTAGGTAAAGTCTTGATTTTGGGATTAGCTGATTGTTTCCTGAGAAAAATGGAAGAGAAAACGAACGGAAGTGTTGGCGCGTGAAAGATAACGGAGGAAACTTTATCTAAAAGACTGGAACGCGGTGTTCGAGAAGACGAGAAAGAACGAACATGGTAATAAATTAATAATTAATAATAAGCTTAAAAATTAGTGAAAGTGTATTAGTTAGGAAAAAAAAAATTAGTGAGGATCTGAAGGAAAAGGAAATCAGAACTTATTGAATACGCTTTCTTTTATTTTCTTTTCTTTTTTTTTTTTTCCGTTTCTTTAGTTGATAACATGTTGTTGGGTATGAACTGACATGTCGTTCGTCGAAAGTTATGTGTCGTTCGATGTGACTATTTGTTGTTTTATTAGATAAGACCGTAATTTTCTTTTAATTTAGGGTGGAGATTCGAATTGAAGAATTTTAAAATAAGGTAAGTGTATCCTTTAAAAAAAAAAAAAAAGAGATGTATCGTTACACCAATTTTTATTTTTTATTTTTGCTTGAATATCATTACATCATTACAACTACATCTACATTTTAAAGTTTCATGTCGTTAAGTTTGTGAACGATATATCCCTTGTTTAAAATTTTTCACGCCCTTTTAAAACCCCTACCTCATTTCTTCGGAAAAAAGAAAACAAAAGAAAGAATCTCATCCTCTTATCCAAAATTTAAATAAAAAAAAAAAAAGAAGAAAAAACCTAAAACTTAAATTTGTTTTTGGAAAAGGTGATATCAAAAAAAAAAAAAAAAAACTCTCCACCAACTACACCATCAACTCAACTTGCATCGAAAATATAAATATATGTGAAACACACGGAAAGAATACACACGGGGAAAAAAATTTCCATTATCAAGAATTAGTAGTAACAAACAATAACCACCAAACGATTGGGTTAGCTCTTATGTTATAAACAAGCTTTGCATAGTTAATGAAGAATAGAATGATTACAAAACAATTGGCAACAAAATTCTGAATTTCTCGCAACCGACCATAGGGCTCCTTGTGATGACCAGAAAATGATTCCCCTGCGCGAGAAAGAGCTTGGAGTGGTCAAATCTGATCTGCGTTAGTATAGGGAATTTGTCTGATAAATCTTCATATCTGTAATGTGATGGACCCTTTTTTGGTTCCATCAGTTTCAGCTTCTGAATCTTCATCGTTCATAATAAGCTAGTCACCAGTTTTATCACTCTTGCCAATCTAGTCTTCATTTGATCCGCTGGCACCGCTGCCATGAGGCTCTCTCCGAATCATGTCTAATATGTCCTGGACAACTTCAGACATTTGTGGTCTGAATTCTGGCTGAGACTGTAAAAATGCATTTGAAATTGTTTAACATCATCATCTAATAAAGGATATGAACAAGACATCATCAACCATTCAAGCTAGAGAAGCAAAATGTTTACTTGAACGCAACGAGATATAATGTCGGCAAAGTGCGACAAGGATTTTGCAGGGTACTGTCCGACCAAAGAAGGATCTACCATCCTTGACAATGCATCAATGTCGTGAAGCTGGGGAATCGCCCATCGGACCAAAAATTGCTCTCCACGACTCCGGTTCCTGATGTCAAGAATTTGCAAGTAAAATTACGTAACGAAAGTAAAGGGGAGAACAGATGCTAAACTTTGCAATCACTTTGCCTTTTTCTACCTGTCATAAGACTGGCGTCCTGTCAAAAGCTCTAGCACAACCACTCCGAAACTGTAAACATCGCTCTGGGAAGTGTAAATTCCTGACTCAAACTCTGGAGCTCCGTAACCATAAGCTGATAGCAAATGTCCTGACAGCTGGGAAAAGGAAAGTTTCAATGACTCGTCTCCACAAACAAAGAAGCATGTTATTAATTAGTGCTTCTAACAAGCTCTTTTCACCTATGTTCGGTTCGTCCACAGGAACATAATTGCAAACAACCAACGGAGGGCAAAAACAGTGTGCAAAATTAGTAAAGCTGTTCTTTTTTTGTTTAAATGAGTAACGCTGTTGCATAAAAAACTAAACCATGTTTTGTCCTGTCCTTGAGGTGATTGGGATAGATGTTGGATGTATTACTGTAAAACCACAAAATTAATGTAAGGTCCTTAGTGAAGCTATTGTGTTATGACTTACCTGGCTCACAGATCCCGATGATATTAAGGGAGCTAAACCACAATCTGATACACGCACAGAAAGGTCATCATCAAGGAGAAGATTGGCAGACTTGAAGTTCCTGTGTACAACTGGTGGCTCGCAAATCTCATGCAAATACCTTTGCACAAAAGAAAACAAATTTTTAGTACCCCAGATGGTGCGTGTCTCCAAAACATATCCATTGCAGGTATAAGAAAAGACACATAGACTTAAAACTATTTATTTTCCTGTGTGCTCGTTGTAATGTTGAAGGTATGGGATCTTATTATAAACTGGTAGACATGGATACGTTTAAGCTGCAACAATCAACACGCTTTTATTCGGGAAAAACAACAGATTGCATTGAACTTAGTACTACCACCTTTGACATAATGCCGAGCATTGTGCCTTATTCTAAATATCAGTTGGATTGCACCAGAAACAATAAAAAGTGGATTGATAAATGTAACATGTGTTCTAACTGTCTGAAGGGCATGCCAAGACCTAATCTACTTAATAAGGGTGAAAAGAGTAGTGAAATTCCAGGAAAAACTGACCCTCTTGCATGTTGCTACGAGCTATGTACCACTATGCACAAAAAAATCGATAATAGTAATACCAATAGAAGGTCAATAGTATGTTCGTGACTTACTCCAAGGCTCTTGCAGCTCCAAGTGCCATTCTAATGCGAGAATTCCATGAAAGCCTTCTTTTAAATTCATCATCCGAGTGCAGAGCATCTTGCAGGGAACCATTACTGCAATATTCATAGACAAGTAGCCTTTGACCATGCTCTGCACAGTAACCCATGAGCTCAACTAAGTTGGCATGCCTGATTCTATCAATATTGTTCACCAGGTCAATAAACTCATCATCCTTTTGCTGACTAGAAGCCCTCTTGTCCAGTTTCTTGATTGCAAGTAGCTACGAAAGCATACGAAAACATCAGGTCTCAAAATTCAAAGCATTACAAGCATATGCAGACATCGTAGAGACTACATGAGAAAAGAGAAATATTAATAACAAACCCATTACTGAGAAACACCTATAATCAGTAAGCTAAAAATCAGAATTTTGTTTAGCATATTAGCTCCTATATCTTCCAGTACGATATAAACCAAAACCTATAACTCCTACCAACCTCTCAGCTCTTTAGCCAAGCTTTTGAAGAATTTACACTTCAGGCAGAGACCATATTGCGTGAATTAGTGTATAGTGTTTCTCAATGAAGTTTAAGGAAAGATTTGACAACAGAGAGAGAGAGAGAGAGAGAGAGAGAACTCAAATAAGACACTAAAGAATCCTTGAAAATGAAAGTATTTTGGGATAGAAGACCAACTCGCCGCTATAAATATGACATGTTCTGAACCTCTCATACAACTGATTTCCTGTTCTCTTCATGTGATATCATAGGCCGTTTAAAATACCACCTCTTGATCTCCTATGAAAATAAATGTCCCAACTCGTTCAAATTGTCTTGCTAAACATTAGTTATATCTTTCAATTAGCATTCTAATGGCACCAAGTCAATGACAGAAAAGTGACTAAATGGCAAGCTCGAAAACTGATGAAAGTAATCAAACAAAGAGAAGAAAAGAATGAAGCCTGTTGAGTCATTGACCTAGCACAAAGATGCTGCAAGGGGTAAGAAATAAAAGGCGAAGACAGATTCCAGTTAATTAATCCACCACTGGTACTAACTATCATACCTTTCCATCAGGTAGCTGCGCCCTATAGACACTTCCCAACATGCCCGATCCAATAAGATTATCCTGAGAAAAGCTGTCTGTATATTGCTGAAGGGATGCAATACTGTAAAACTTCGCAGAAGTGGCAGGATTACGAGCTTTCATGGAAGGCTTCGCTGCAGGCATTTCAAACGGTACCATGGGCTCCACGATGACCTTCTCAGGAAGAGGTGGAGGGGGAGGAGGTGGGGGAGGGGGAGGCGGAGGAGGAAGAGGAGGCATCAAGTATTCATCAAGTACGCCAAAATCTATCTTGTGATCCTCCCGCTTTGGTGCTGTGCCTATTCTTTGCACATTTGTCTCTTGTTCATTATGGTGCTTCGGAATTGCTCCCATTCTTCTGGCGTCTGTTTGCTGATTCTCCTTGGGCCTTACAACTACTTCTTTTGGATCTGTTCAAATTTTCAGCAATCTATTTAGATTACAAACAAATAAGCATGATGCTACAGAGTATGAGAAAATAAAAGCTAAAGATGATGTAATTGCCTTTCTGCACTTGATTACTTGGTTGAACCAAGGAGCCATTGTCCCTAGGAGAACTGTCCCTGTCCCCTTGATATGCACCTATTCGATGTGTCTTGGAAACTCTATCAGCAGCTCTTCTTTGTCGGGTACACCTTGGAATGCAAAGGAAGAGTAATAGCACCAAAACCACAAATGATATAACCCCAGCAATTGATATCCAAACTACCCTGCTAACACTTTTCTTCGATCCACCAGAATGTGAAGCCTCAGATGCAGAGGGTCCATCAGCTTGTTTTGCAGGTGTTTTCCCAGAAGACGGAGCCCCAGAAATAGGTGGTGATGGTGTTGGCTGTGATGGAAGGGTTGACGAAGACGGAGGTGGAGGTAATGGAGCAACTGTAGAGTTAAATGGATTTCCATCTTTTCTGCAGTAAATATGAAAATCAGCAGATAAAAATGCGCAAGGTGACAAAACGTTTTCCATGTAATTGCAGACAAGCAAGTAAGTAATCTTCTATCCCTCTCACCTGAAATTCGGGATGGCAAGAAGCTTCTCTGGGATTGGTCCTGAGAAAAGGTTATTTTCTACGTTCCTGTTTAACAACAAGAGAATCACTCAAAATATGTTAGTAAAACGATTAAAAGGATATGATAACTGGAACCATGTAAAGACAAAACTTTATCTTACGGAATCTGTGTAACTCTAGAATAGGAAATTCGTCAAATTGAAAATGTAATGAAAATTTTAAATGGATTGCAAAGTAGAAAAGTACAAATCTTTAAGGGGAAGATCTTGCAAGACATCCAGGGTTCCAGAGAGTTGATTGTTCTGCAAACGTCTGCCAATGAAAGAGTTAGATATGTTGTTGGTGAGATAGCAAGTGAACTATTAATGGCTTTATTATGTGAAACACTCACAGAGTGGTTATAGATGACAAACTTGCTAATGAGGGTGGCAGTTCCCCACTCAAATTGTTAATGGACAAATCCCTGCATAAAGATAAGTGGTCTCATCATCTATTAATTAACCATAAAGCAAATGAAAGAAGAAAGGTTTGAAAAGTTCAGAAAGGGCCCATACAAATTTATCAACCCAGTGAGTGCTTCAAAAGCATCTGGAAGTTCTCCCGTTAAAAGGTTGTTGTTAAGAGACCTGGAAGGCAAAACAACTTAACTCAGGTATGAAATGCACAGGTGGAGTGACTGACCAAGCATCAAGACCCACACAAAAAAAAAAAAAAAGCAAGTGGCTTACATGTCTGTGAGCTGATTCAATGACGATAAAGAATCAGGGATGCTTCCAGTAAATTGGTTAGCTGAAAGAAAACTGCCAAGGTAAAGAATGATATCCTTTGAATACATTTAACAGAATACAAAGAAAAACTCAAAATCACCGCGTTATTGAATAATGTATAGAATGGTAATTTCAGAGTCAAACATACAAGGTTTGCAAGGTAACCGGCAAATTGGATGGAATGCTACCCCCAATGTGATTATTGCTTAGATCTCTGCCACAGGAGAACGGCACAAGCATTAGTGATAATAGTGAACAAGTGCATAAAATAATTATGCAATGGTAAAAGAAATGACAATAATAACCAGGTGACGCTTATGCAACCAGTCTTTTCACCTTATTGAACACCCCCAAATCCTCTACATACCTAACCAGATTTACTCATAGTCAAAGCCCTGAAGTAGGTAAACACAAACTAGTAACTATGCGCTAAAAACCTTGTGTTATCTTATAAGCTGATTATTACTCTATAAATTATACATTTCCGACGCATAGATTATGGGAAAGAAGCTTAAGACCCTAAAAAAAATCACCCAAAAAAATGCAGGAAAAGAAAGAAGGAGAGATGGTACCACTTACATTCCTCTGATAGAAGTGAACGCTCCAAGATCATTGCCCAATTCTCCTCCCAGATTAGCAGCATTAAGAACTCTATTATTACAAAACAATGAAAAAGAAAATCACATTAAGCATGCCAAGTAACATCACTCGGTAAAGGAAGTGGATTAAGGAGGTTACCGTACATTCTCAATATGCTTGTCTCGTTACATTGAACGCCTTGCCATGCTTCACCGCAAGGATCTCCCGCGGATGCGGTCCATCCGGGCAGAACAGGAGAACCCAGTGCCGCATACAACTTATTAATTGCAGCCACTAATGCAAAAGAAGCAATGTAGATAATAAACTTGTCAATTAAATGAAGCACTGAAAACATAAAAGAAAAAAATAAATAAAAACACTCAAGACTAGAAACATGTTGAACTACGTCATGCAATTGCAGAAAGACCACAAAGTCGTGCTGAAATGTTTCAAGCAAGTAGATATACTTCAAACACTAATTCTTTCATTCATATAGACATACTTGAACTAAAAAAAGATGCAGAAAAAGATTATTTAGAAAGCCCATGTTAGCTTAAACCTGGGATCCCAAAAAATAAAAACAAAAAACAAAATAATAATAATAATAATAAACCTCTAGTCCAGTGAGCATAATAATAAACCTTTAGCCAATGAAGATTAAACACTCAATTCCCGTTCATTTTCCACACTTACTCGGGAATCAAAGTGGCAGAAGAAGTAAAATGCTAAAATCATAGCCAAAAAGGGCAAAAGTGAAAAGCCTTACCGTCATCGGGATTCGTGACTCCAAGCGATAATTGAACCAAGCAGATCAATACTGACCAAAACAACAACTTTTCACAGATCTTCAAGTTCTTCCACTTCAACACAGATCTATTCTCACCCATTGATCCCAAAACTCCTTTGTAATCTCTCTAAAAGCTCCTTTTCCCAGTTCACGAATACATCTTGCAATCTGAAAATCGAACCCAAGGAGAAAAAAAAAAAAAAAGTCTTTACGTAAATCCAATTAACAAAAGACAAACAAGATCAACAATATCGTACAGACAGTGAACACTCCGAAATGTTGAATTGCATTAGCGAAAACATGTACGGAAACCTTAAAAAATGGAAGGAGAAGAAGAAGACTTACAGAGAAGATATGGAGCTTTAAGAAATTAGCAAATGCTGAAGAAAGTCGAAGTAGAAGAAGCGAACAACAAGTGCGAAAAGCGTTGAGAACTTTCTGAAAAAGCAAAAGATTTCAGTTTCTCCAAAAATAACAACGACGACAAAAAAAGGCTTCAAGCTAGAAGTGAAACTTAGGGGCTAAGATTCAACGAATTAAGTAATGGAGCGAGATACGTAAAGCGGATATTGCGTCAAAATTAACCTATTACAGAGAATTATAATAAATAATTTCCATTTTTAAATTGCTTTTTCAGGTCTGAGAAACCCTAACCTTCAGAAAGAGCTGGAAAAAATTTTGAAAAAAGGCAAAAGAAAAAAGTACAGGTGAGTGAGAAGTGAAGGGTGGGGGAGGTTCTCTGAAACTCCTCTCAGAGAATTCTTTTTCTCACTTATTAGCCTTCTCATTTTTTTCCCTTTTTTTTTTTTTTTTTTTTTGGAAGGATATTTGATTAGAAGATTCAAATATGATTTAAATTATAGTTCATAATTAGTTATAATATTTTCTCTCAAATAAAATATACATAAATTAAAAATAATTTTAATCCATCAACTAAACATCTCTTTAATTTTTTTCTGTGTGTTTTTTTTATTTACTTTCTCTCTCTTCTTCTTTGTGTGTCCAAATGAACAAGCCAGCCAAGTAAGAGTGACTGCGTGCAAGTCATACATATCTGTTTTGCATGTCTTTGAGAACGGTGGATGCTTGCTTTTCCACGCTCCCTCCATTAGCGCGTGCAATGCACTTCTTTTTCTTTTTTCTTTTCTTTCCGATTTATGATTTTTTTTTAAAATTTAAATTGGTCTATTTTAAAATGTTTTGCGTTGATTCATGATATTGGTAGATACAATCACACACAAAAAAAAAATCTAGCAAAAAAGTCGCGCAAAGCAAGAAATTGGGTTCATTCACTTCGCTGATTCGAGTTTGTAATTCGAGTTTAGATGTAATTTTATGTGAGAGCTTTTTACTGTAACAAAAAAGTTAAATGTGATTGTTTGTAAGAGTTTTTTACTGTAGCAAAATTCGAATTCTAAACTCAAATTGATGAAGTGAACGGGGCATATATATTTTTAATTCTGGATAGGATAGGACAATGCACGTCAACTGTAGGCGCGTTGTGGTCGGCAATTAAAAGGAAAATGTAGTGTTTTTTTAAGGCAAAAAAAAATGTAGTTGTCAATAATAGCCGCCAGTTTTTCTATGGGCTTCACGTGCATTGTCGAATTATTTTTTGGGCTTTGCGCTGAACCAATTAAAAGCCCATGAAATTTTCTTTCTTTTTTTTTTCCGTTTTCTGTCCATTTCTTTGATTTTTCAACATCAATTCTCAGACAAAAATGTAGTTTAGATTTATTTATAAAAAAAATAAAAAAAAAACCGATAAACTTGTTTCTTTGGCTATTGCCCTGCCGTCTATTTGAGGAGAAGGATTCCATGTACATTGGATACTCTAGGTCACATAAATGTCAATCTAAAGAGTAAAACAATATATCCAATATTTTGGTAAAATCTATGAATGCCAATTTTTGTCCATAAAAACTTTTATTTAGATCTTAGAAACTATTGTGATAATTCTTTTTTTTTTTTTGAAACGGAATTACTGTGATAATTCTTCTGTGAAATTGTTAATAAAATCCTTAAAACGTGGTAAACTAAAATATCTTGATTGAATATGCAAATTTGTTCAACCAACAAACGAAGTGCAAATTTACCGCTCCCCTCAATTAGCTTCTTTTAGTTGGTAGTTAAAAACAAAACAAAACAAAAAAAAAAAGCAAATAAATTTAGCTTATCCCGTTATTTATGAAAGAACCTTTCCTTTTTAGGGCGGATTTTTTATGAACCATCCTTTAATTAATGGAAAAAAATAAAAAATGACCCAAGAAATAGTCAAAAATATTATTTATATCACTTTATTTTAAAATAAATAATTAACATTTAATTATTAAAGATAAAATAAAAGATCACGATAGCACTTAAATTATTTAGTATGATATAAATAATAATTTTATATAAAATCATGATAAATTATGTATTTTTATTTTATTTTCAATATTAAAAATTTCATGTTAACAATGTCTCGTTCATTTCACCGATTCGAGTTTTCAGTTTTAGGTTTCTACAGTAAAAAGCTCTCAAAAAATATCACATCTAACTTTCTCTGTTACAATAAAAAGTTTTCAAAAACTATCACATTTCAATTCGAATTAAAAACTCAAATCCGTAAAGTGAACGAGCCTTAGAGTTTCTACAAAAGTATATTTCTAAGAGAGGCCTGGGTCAATTACAAAAAAATCCATCCTGCCCATTGTGGACCGTTAGTAGCACATAGCAATAAAGGTATCTTCTTTTTTTCTTTCTTGCTTTTCTTTGGCTGAATAAAAGGAAGGCGTAAAAGAAAATTCCAAGTCAGAAAAGCCACTTATAAAAATTATAAAATTTGCTTTTATCTATTTTAAGGACGGCAAGAAAGTCTTAAAACAGTCATTATCCTTTTCTTATTTTTATTTTTATTTTTTGTGCTTAAACGGTCTTTATCTATTTAATTAATCCTCAGTTTACCCGTCAGTTATCAGGGAATCTACCTGATAGCTGATAGCATTAGCCACCGACCAATTACGGGAAAGCTCCCACAGCCCCACTATTAACTCTTGCTTACGTAACCAAATTGAAATTATCTCTTCTTGTTACCTTTTTCTAAATTATAAAGGCTTATTCAAGTTATAATAATTTGAGTTAAAATTTCAATTAAAATTGTAATTTAAGTTTATATTTAATTGTGTATATTTAAGTTATGGTTTAAAATGAAAATCTTTTTGAATTTATATTTGAGTGAGTCAAAATTTGAGTTTGTATTTAGATAGTATTTTAATAAAAACTTAATGATGATGAAAAATTTTAATAAAGTATAATGTCTATGGGTGGGGTTTTATTCGTCTATTCGTTGTGAACGCATGAAAAAAGCATCTTAATCGAAATTAAAACGAAAAAGTTATAGCGTTTTTAAATAATAGAAAAAATATTAACTCAAAAAAAGTTTAAACTCAAGTTACAACTTTATTCAAATTCATGTTTTTTTGTAAAATTTGAGTTTTAACTTGAATTTTAACTTGAGTTTGGGGTTAAAATCTGAAAAATGCAACTGAACAAGCCTTGAGTTCAAGTTTCTCCTTCAACTAAAGTTCATAAACTCAAACTCAAGCTAATGAACAAATGGGCTTGTTCGGTTGCATTTTTGAGTTATAGTGACTTAAGTGTAGATCTTGAGTTTAATTTGAGTTATAACTTGAATTGAAGTTGTAACTTGAGTTTGTGTTTGGATGTGCACATTTGAGTTATGATTTGAATTGAGAATCTATTTGAGTTTGTGTTTAGGTGGGTCAAAACTTAAATTTGTATTGAGATAATATTTTAATAAAAACTCAATGGTGATAGAAAATTTTAAGAGGGTATATAGGTGGCGTTTTATTCATCTTTTCGTTGTGAACGTATAGAAAAAAAATCATCTCAAACGAAATTAAAACAAAAATGTTATGACGTTTTTAATAATAAAAAAAATATTGTTTATTAACTTGAATTTGAGTTTAATAACTTGAGTTGAAGGGAGAACTTGAACTTAAGGCTTGTTCGGTTGCACTTTTAAGTTATGGTGACTTGAGTGTATATCTTGAGTTGAATTTAAATTATAATTTGAATTGAAGTTGTAACTTGAATTTGTGTTTGGATGTGCACATATGAGTTATGGTTTGAATTGAGAATCTATTTGAGTTTGTGTTTGAGTTGGTCAAAACTTGAATTTGTATTTATATAGTATTTTAATAAAACTCAATGGTAATAGAAAATGTTAATAGGGTATATGGGTGGGATTTTATTCATCTTTTCGTTGTGAACGCATAGAAAAAAAATCATCTCAATCGGAATTAAAACGAAAAAGTTATGGCGTTTTTAATAATAGAAAATATATTGTTCATTAACTTAAATTTGAGTTTAATAACTTAAGTTGAAAGGAGAACTTGAACTCGGGGCTTGTTTGGTTGTATTTTTAAGTTATGGTGACTTGAGTATAAATCTTGAGTTGAATTTTAGTTATAATTTGAGTTGAAGTTGTAACTTGAGTTTGTGTTTGGATGTGCACATTTGAGTTATGATTTGAATTGAGAATCTATTTGAGTTTGTGTTTGAGTGGGTCAAAACTTAAATTTATATTTAAACAGTATTTTAATAAAAACTCAACGGTAATGTAAAAATTTAATAAGGTATATGGGTAGGGTTTTATTCGTCTCTTCGTTGTGAACGCACAGGAAAATAATCATTTCAATCGGAATTAAAACGAAAAAGATATGATGTTTTTAAGAATAGAAAAAATATTTGTTTATTAACTTGAGTTTAAGTTTAAGAACTTTTGAAGGGGAAACTTGAACTCAAGTTAAAACTCGAGTTCAAACTCAAATTTTACAAACGAACATGAACTTGAAAAAGTATGGCTGTTCGGCAGCCCCATTTTTGAGTTAAAAACTCAAAAAAGCTACTCGAGTTACAACTTTATTCGAGTTCATGTTCTTTTAGGTTTGAACTCGAGTTTGAAACTAAAACTCGAGTTCAAATTTCCTCTTTAACTCGAGTTCAGAAACTCGAACTTAAGTTAATGAACAATATTTTTTCTATTCTTAAAAATGCTATAACTTTTTCATTTTAATTCTGATTTAGATAATTTTTTTTTCTATGCATTGATAACGAAAAGACGAATAAAACCCCACCTATATACCTTATTAAAATTTTCCATCAGATTGAGTTTTATTAAAATATTATCTAAATACAAATTCAAGTTTTGACTCACTCAAACACAAACTCAAAAAGATTCTTATCTCAAACATAATTCAAATGTACACAACCAAACACAAACTCAAATTACAACTTCAACTTAAGTTATAATTCAAACTCAACTTAAACACTCAACTCAAACTACCTAACTCAAAAACGGCAAAAGAACAGTCCCGTTGTAACTTGAGTTTAAACTTTTTTTTAATTTTACTCCAAAAGAACAAACCCGATTTTAGCCCCAACTCAAATTAAAACTTAAGTTTAAACTCAAATTTTACAAAAAAAATATGAACTTGAGTAAAATTGTAACTTAAGTTTAATTTATTTTTAAAATACGTTGTTATTTTACATTAAATTTTATTTAAATATAAATATAAATATAATTATATTAAATATAACATTTAATTTTCATTGATTACATTTAATCATTACAGCCATGCACGGAGGCAAAGGGGATCCGTGGGGGTAGCCCCTACTGACAAAACCAAAAAAAGAATTATACCGTATATAACTTCTCATATTTCTACACAGGTTTTTTGCCCCCTCTCATATCTTATATCTATACATATTTTTGCTTAAAGAAAAAATAAATAATCAGTCTTTTCAT